ATAACTTTATGAGTTTGATTGTGGTCATGCAAAGATAATCAGGGATATAATGCTGATGCTTTCATTTACTAGCTGAGTGACAATGGTCAAGTAGGTCACTGCAGGCTTTTCATCCTCCATATGCATATGTATTAAAGGAGTGAGAATACCAGCTATGGCAAATAGTTTCTTTACATACACCAACTTCAGTGAATGGTAGAGGCTAGCCAAGCTCTGTTTTAAGAAGAATTATGAGAATGTATATGTCTGGGTTCAATTAGAAATTGCTGAGATTGATTAGTTATGTCTGGAAATTGATTAGTTATGTCTGCCTTAAACAGTAACTAGGAAAGTGCCTATCCTGACTCCATGTATTTGTCGAGCCTAGATTAGATTGTCTGGAAGATTAACTTCAGGCTCAACATTATTCTATTCCAGTCTATGATTTTTATTTTCTACTTTGAATGAGTCAATAAGACTTACCATTCTTTTCTTTTTTTCTTCACAGTGCATTTATTAGATTATAGATCTAATTTATTAGATCTATGGATCTTAAGAAAAATGTATATAGTACTTTTAGCCACTTAAACAAAGAAAAGTTGTGTCAAATAGCGTTTTTTAATGAACCAAACCTGCTAACTTTGTGAAACATTATGCAATGAATGTTTGCTATACAGACCAAATTTTTTTCTCCATCAACTGTACTGTTTTTAATGAATCCTATTTTTAAAACATAGATCATATGTAGTTGAAGAAATCAAGTCTACTACAAGGGGAAAAATGTTAGTTATTGCACACATCTCTCAACAGGCAGACTTGCTTGATCTGGGATGAGCTGTTGACTTTAACTATCACAAACGGAATTTCCTGATAGTCCTCTGAAATAGGCTTTCATAAAATTTGGTCATTTTCCTTTTCTTTTCTTTGCAATCATGACAACCTGTGAAACTGAGAAACTGGCCCATTTGAGGTCATTCTGGGAGAAAAACCATTTTGAGATGAAGCTAGGTTCTTCTGACTCTGATATCTTGCTCCAGGCTTTGTTCTAAGGTGATGCATGTGACCGCCTTCATGCTGGCTATCTCCAATAAGCCAGAGCCAGCAACTCTAGCCCTGTAGACATTTCTTTCCAGGAATAGATCTGTTTTGCCTAGTAATGTTAAGCTGAGTATATACATGTCCATTAATAAAATGCGAAAACAGAAAACAAAGGTTCTGACACATGACCTATATCTTCTGCTTTGCCAATATATATATACTTTAAAATTGCAATATATGGTATTTAACTTTCACTATCAAAATGTAGAAGAAAAGGACAAGAATTGATGCGAAAACAATAATTCAAACATCTAAGTACAAGGTACAGAGCCTTCTTTGAACATTTCAGCTGCTATCAATTATTGCTAATTGAGCTCTGGTTTTCCTTATCAAGTCTGAATCTGTTTCTAGAGGGAGAAGCTCTCCAGTGGTGCTTTGTAAGTTTACAGTGGCAATGTGGGCTGAACTGGAACACTTGCCATATTATTCTGCTTTTGCCACATAGGTGTTAATGGTGTTTAAAAATAGTCACTATTCGAATTATTCCAGCTAGCATTTTATCTGTTTTTCTGACTGATAATTCTTAGGGAAAACATAGTCCTTTTACCTTCAGTAGTGGCTGCCCAGTACTTTTTGAACACCCTTTCTATATGCAGGAAATCATCTTCCTTACGTGCCCCACATCCCTTAGGGAGAAAATAGGGAACTTCCTTCCCAGCCACCTTGTAGCTGGACACAGGCATGTGACCCACACCCCACCAATCACTGTACTTAAATGTGACTGGTGTTACTATTTGAAGGAGGGCCTCTGTGGAATCAATTTGGCTGTTGAGGTGATATTCTAGGCATCCAGGATGCCAGGACTGGAAAGCTGGGCTTCTGGATAGAAGTGGCTGGATGGTTGTTTGGTGCAGTTATGTCCTGGCAGCTGAGCAAACGGGAGCCCCCACTGCTTGGCACTGGCATAACCTTTGGTATTTTCCTCCTCGGATCAGTTTTGGACATGGTTTTGGACATTGTTTCTGGAAGCCTCAAGCCTGGTTCTCCAGACATTTAGCAATTCCACGAGAGATGCAATATTTTTTCAATGAACTCTTTTTGGGCTTGGTCTTTTGAATTAGAATTAGTTCAATTTTTTGAAATTAAGAACCTTGGCTAATACGTTATTCTTCCAGGAGAATGTTCTTTCTATACATAAGATTTTTGCCAGGAACTTTTGCATCTTCCTCTGGAATAATCACAGAAGCATATCATATTCCTCTGGAATGATTAAGAAAAATCATGACATGAACTTGCTATGTGGAATCTAGAAAAGTCGAATTCATGGAAGCAGAGAGCAGAAAGGTAGTTACTGGGAGCAGAAGTGGAGGGGAACTGAAGAAATGTGGCCCAAAGGACACAAAGTTGCAGTTATGCAGGATGGATACTGCTAGAGATTTAATGTACAGCCTGGTGACTATGGTTGATAATACTGTATTGCATACTTGCAATTGGCAAAGGGAGTGAATCTTCAAATGTTCTCCCTTCCCAAACCACACATATATATGCAGTAACTAAGTGAAGGAATGTATATGTTAATTAGCTTGACTGTAGAATCAGTTCACTGTGTAGTAAATAAAATTAATAAAAAAGGAAAAATAATGACATTGTAGATTGCATTTGATTTTTCCTATGCATGACTTGGAAATTTAGCATATATTTATTGAGTACCTACCACATGTGACCCTGTGCTGATGCTAGAATGCCATGGGAGGTGGTAGAGAATATAAAGGTAAGTAAACCAAAGTTCATAGCTTTAATTTAAAATAGCTCTGCGTAAAATTATTAAATTACTCTTTAATTACTCCAACAATTCCCAGCAGTCCTTTTTAAGCAAATATAGCCTCAAGCCTCTTGCAGAGATGCTTTTACTACATATTTATATTTATTTTTATTGTGCATTTAAAAAATATTTTTCCCAAGTATCTACTGACGGATGAGTGGACAAACAAAACAAAGTGTAATATATACACACACACACATATACACAGACACACACACAGGAATATTATTTAGCCTTTAAAATGAAGGAAATTCTGACACGCTGCAACATGGATTAACCTTGAAAATATGCTAAGTGAAACATGCCAGTAACAAGTGGGCAAATAGTGTTTGATTCCACTTATATGAGGCACCTACAGTGGTCAAATTCGTAAAGGCAAAAAGTAGAATAGTAGTTGCCAGGGGCTGAGGGCTGGGGAGAATGAGAAATTATTAGGTAGTGGAGACAGAGTTTGTTTGGGAAGATTATTTAAAGTTCTGAAAATAGATACTGGGGATAGTTGCTCAATTATGTGAATGTACTTAATGCCACAAAATTGTGCACTTAAAACAGTTAAAATGGGCCAGGCGCAGTGGCTCATGCCTGTAATCCCAGTACTTTGGAAGGCCGAGGTGGGCGGCCTTCATGAGGTCAGGAGTTCAAGACCAGCCTGGCCAATATGGTAAAACCCCATCTCTACCATAAAATGCAAAAATTAGCTGGGTGTAGTGGCGCGTACCTGTAGTCCCAGCTACGTGGGAGGCTGAGGCAGGAAAATTGCTGGAACCCAGGAGGTGGAATTTGCAGTGAGCTGAGATCGCGCCACTGCACTCCAGCCTGGGTGACAGGGTGAGACTCTGGAAAAAAAAAAAAATTAAAATGGCAAATTTTATGTACTTATTTCTTACTACAAGAAAAATGCTTTTTAACCAAACAGAATATAAACTTCTATGAACAGGGTTAGGGAACTGATTTTCTCCTAATCACTAAGAAAATTCCACGTGAGAGGCAAGGGCCTAGGAGTTGGAGAGCTGGGCTGCTGTTTGGTGCCAGCTCTTTGGTTAGTTAGCTATGTGAACTCTGCTCAACCTTGCCAAGCCTCAGTTTCTTCATCTTTCAAATGGATAAGAGTGTGGAGGGGCACCGTATCTCTACAGTGCTCTGATTTCCATTTAACTACAGATTTAGAACCAAGGTCAACCTTGGCTTCAAATACTCAACTCCTTTGCTGACAAATAAACAGATCTTCAGGAAACTGTACTTGTCTTCTGGTGAAATGGTTTCTCAGTAGGTTCTCACAGAGCAAATCTAAGCACCAACAATGTAGGGTTTTGAGAATGCAGAGTATTTCCTGAACTCATAATCCTTCCCTCCTTGAAACTGTCTATGATGTAGGAATTCAGTTCCCATCCAGATTTACAGATGTAAATCTTCAGTTACCTAATAAAATGGAGAGAAGAAAATCATGTGATTATATTTTGAATCCAGTAATACTAATGAATTCAAAGCCAGACTTCATTTTAGAGGGTTTTTGTAAAAAGTTATATTTTCCAGTCTAATGCTTCGTGTTGAGTCTTGAAAACTTAAGGTAATGCAAACCATATCATTTCCACCTCTAAAAATTCTATCAGAGTCTCTAAGAATCTACATTTAAGCGCTTTACACAACAGTGAACATGGAAACAATATTTATTGTCCACAACTTTCCTAGGTACATCAAATTATTCAACACAGAACTGGCATTCTACTGGCAAGTGGCTGGTTACCAGCTAAATAGTTGGGTATATATCCAGTAAACCTGCAGATAGAGAAAGCTTTTAAGACCAGTCTGGATGCAAACAATCTCTGGGAATCAATTGCCTAGAACTATCTCAATGGTAGGAGAAATCTGCCTTAAGGAAATGTGCATTGTTCTTGAAAATGCGAGACACCAGTAGGAAACACAAACACAGACTCAAAAGAAGCAGGGAACAGCAGACTGAATAAACAGTGCATGAACACCCATTTTCCTAGGAAATATGTGTCCAAGACTGAAGAGTTGTGTTGCAGTCTTATCTGTCATTTACGTCTTAAAGATAGGTGAGCCTTGGATAATATCGTGCTTGTGCCCCACAGGAGGCTGCCAACTATTATCATAGATCATCCACTAGAGGGTGACAACCACATATGCTTAGGGATGGATGACTGTAGACACAGTGCACATTCCACCGTCCTGAGAAGAGTTTCTTGAAGCTCATCCGCCTAAGTGGTTGGACTTTCACTTCTGGAGTCGCCCACAAAAAGGAGAGAGGGAAACTATACATCTTTCCCATACTTGTGGCCTAGGTTGTCTCTTCTTTTCAGACTTAGTTAAGAAAAAATTAAATGTCTATAGTAATTTTTTTTTTTTAAGTAGAAGGAACACCTCCTATTACATTAAATAGGAGGTGAGTATCTCTAACAGTTGGGAGAAGGACATGCTGAGATTTTTTTCCTATTACTATTATGGATCTTTGGGACAGTTTCAGTAAGTACTTTCAGGGGGTACTTGGTTTTTCCAACTGTAAAATGTGGGCTATTCATTACAAATCTTAGAGCAAAATTCTGATAGCAAAGTAGGTAGAGGAATATAGAACCTTTTATTAGAAGGTTTTGTGTCTTTGTAGGATAATTATTACAAGTAGTATCAATATATACCAACTAATATGCATGAGATAAGATGGCGGGTCTGAGGCTTGGTTGGGATGTGGGTCTGGAATCTTGGATTATGGACATAAGAAATATTGTGAACACTTAATGAACACCCAGGCAGCAGGCTCAAGCCCAAGCACACACCACAGTAGCTTTCAAATAGTTTGGATGTATTCTAATTTGTGTTTCTCCACAGCTACTTTTGTGGGCAGTCATTTAGGCAGCCCTTCATAGACCTCTGGGTCTTTAACTTTCCACAAAAATGTTTCAACTTTAGGAAGACATTTTGGGAAACCAGAATGTTTCCGTTACTGTATGGTTAAACCTTTTGTGCACTACTTAGACAAATATACTGAGTAGTCTTTTTTTTTTTTTTTTTTTTTAAGAGACAGTAGCTTTTGTAACAGGCTTGAACATAAGCTCCTGTGAGCTATGTACATAGTAAGTCCTCTGTAGTTGTTGGATACGTAATCCATAGTTAGTATAAAATTATCATAATTTTAAATAAGACAAGCCATAGTTCTATGAGTGATATAATTTTAAATGAGACAAGCCATCGTTCTTTGAGTGATATGTTTGAGTGATGCTTCTTGATACTTCTTTCAGTTTAAACATAGAAATCATGATCACACCACTGCACTCCAGCCTGGGTAGCAGAGCGAGACTCTGTCTCAAAAAAATAAAAATTAAAACTAAAATAAACATAGAAACCAGATTTTCTTTGGTTTCCTCTCTCGGTGACTTTGGCTGGTTCTCTTTTGCATGTTCGTTGATGCTTCTCCTTGCCTTTGTGTTTAGTGTTTTTAGCAGGCGGTGTTTATAATAGACTAAAACTTTGGGAGCCAGACAGACCTGGGTTCAGTGGGTTTACATTGCTGGGTTTTATAAGGATTACAAGCAAATATATGTACAGTGCCTGGCACAAAATATATAAACAAAATGTTGTTTGTTAGTTATTAGTACTGGCTGTACTAGCTGTATTAATAATAATAATGATACTATATATAATATACATTTGTATATATAATAATATATATTTGTATATTTTATATATCTATAAAATGATAATATTGGAAAGCTAGAGGGTGCAGTGAAGAGATGGCAGGGTGAGTGTGGTATAAGTCTGAATTTGGCCATCTGGTTATTTGCAAGTTCTCTTCCAGCAAATATTTGTTGTGTACCTTCCATAAGCAGCATTGTTCTAGGCACTAGGGACCAAGTGAAAAACCAGACCAAGTCCCTGTCCTAGGAACATTATCTGCTGTTTACATCGTCATATAGGAAGGAGCAGTACACTTAGCAAAAGAATTTTTTAGTGGCACTGTTTTGGGGCCTTGTTTCTATTTAACTTTATGAAAACTGTTTTCAGTATATCGAGATATAATTCACATACTACACAATTCACCCATTTAAGCATGTAAGTCTGTGGTTATTAGCATATTCAGAGTTGTACAATCATCACCACAATTAATTCTAGCAGTCGCTCCCCCCGCCCCCTTACTCCTACCCCCACTCCCAGTTCAAGGCAACAGCTAATCTACTTCCTGTCTCTATAGAGTTGCCTGTTCTGGACATTTCATCTAAATGGAATCATAGGATATGTGGTCTTTTGTAAGTGGCTTCTGTCACCTAGTTTAATGTTTTCAAGGCTCATCCATGTTATAGCATGTATCAGTATTTTATTCCATTTTATGGCTGAAAACATTTTTTAAAGTCTCCTTAATGCACATTAAATACTCAGATGTTGATTGATTCATTCATTTTTTTTCTAGTCTGTGTTGTTTCTCCCTCACTCTTTCTCCTGCCCTTTCTTGGACAGGTTTTCTCTCTTGCCTTCTCTTTTGAAAGCACCCACACTCCTACTGTTACCGCAGACTCCTGCCTTAACTTTAATATCTACTGAGATTTGGAGCCTGTGGCACCTACTCTTTGCAATGACGGAAAATCTGGTTTCTGTCCTTTATTTCTTTCCAGTCCTTTCAGTTTCCATCTGTGTGCCCTCCAAATGCAATAGTTTGAGATTTCTTTAAAGAACATCATAGACTTGGCCTTGGAATGGAAGCTTCAAATGATATCTAAAGAATACATGAACCAGCCAAAGGAGAAAGTGGAGGGAATTTAAAAAAAAAAAAAAAAAAATCAAGAATGACAGCCAGAGAATTTTCACAAAATTCGGACAGGCTGTGGCCGTTCCTTATTCTTTTGCCTGATGGATTGCACATTTCCCACAAGGGCTTGGTACCATCTAGGACCTGAAGATACGCTGAAGGTTTCCTCGTAAAATCTAGCCTCTATTTTATTCTCACTTCCTTTCTTCTGGGTTTGGCCTATGCGAAGCCCACCGGTAAGTTATAAATGACTTATCAAGCATTAGCGTTTAGAGAGTAGACGGCTCCATAAATACCTACTTGGCCTCATTAAAAAGCTTCAGCGATTAAAGAGAATGATTAGTGTGGTGCCAGAGGGGAAAGCAGAAAATCCAACATCTGACTCAAAAAGGGCCAGACCTCTTCTCAGGGAAGACCGCGGGTGTCAGGGAAGAGGATCTGGCCCGCGCCCCGGAGCGGAGCGCCGGGCGTCGGCGTCTGCGGAGCCTGCACCGGGGCCTGTCACGGGAAGAGTTATGAAAAGTGCACGCGTTCTCAGAGACGATTACCCTCTTGCCCTCCACGCCTCCTTCCCAACCTCCCCTTCCACTCCCTGCTCCCCCCACCCTGGAACTCAAAGCATGATTAAAACAGAGAAACCTATAACGGGGATGAAATGACCCTCAAATGACTGCTTAATTACAGCGAAATGAAAGCCGGGGGGCTACAAATAACCAGGAACTGTCCCGGCTGTCACTGAAGAGGAGCCTGCGCATGAGTCATGAGTCATGAATTAGCCACTAAGTGTTCGCCGCCAGCCCCCAGCCGCCTGCCTCTGCCCTACCCAAGCCGGGCTCGCCGGCCCTCCACGCCTGGCCCCGCGGAGCCCCCCGCCCCCCGGGCGTCCGGGCCGGGTCGGAACCGGGCGGTTGTTGTGATTCCCAGGGCTCCCCCGTCGCCCCCGGCCGCCCGGTGGGTCGCTGGGTCGGGGAAGGCTCCCAGGCTGCGCAGGAGACAGGCTGACTGAAGGAGCGCAGCCAGCGCGGCTGCAGATAAGTTAATGTACACAGAGAGGATGTAAATTACCACGACCCGCAGCAGCAGGACATTGGCCAGGGCCCTGTCAGGGAGAGGACAAGCGTCGGGGGCTGCGCGCTCGCTGACACCCACCCGGGATGGAGCCGCCAGGCGGCCCGGCCCGGGAGGACCTCTTGGAGCCAGGCTTTCCTTGAAAACAGCTGCGTGTCGCTGACACCTCCAAACTAATGCATTTTTAATCAGGGGAATTAGCTCTAGGCGTCCCATATTTTTCCAGCCTCCCCCCACCAACCCCCGTCTCTTCCAGCCACGTCCCCCTCCCCGCCCCCAGCTTAGGGACTGGCATTCTGTTTCTTTACTGGGACTCTGCAGAGTTCCCCGCTGCCCCTACACCCCCGAGACCAAACCACCTTTAAAAAAATCTCCCTCGCCGCCCCCCCCCCCATCCTCCCACCAGCCCTCCTCCAAGCGCCGGGTTCGCTCCAATGCAACTTTGGCCCCCACCCTTCCCTCTGTTTATACAGTGACATCACAGCCCCTGGCTCTCTCCAAGACTCAGAGAAAACAGAGTTCAAAAAGGCAAACAGGAAAGCCCGCTGGTCGTGGGCACGGGGTGAGATTCGGTCCACCCGCGGCGGAGCGCGCAGACGCGCACGTGCGCGCACCTCGGTGTGAGCCCATCTCCACTGGGACAGGCTGGGGAAAGGGCTGCCCAGGCTGCGCTCCCCGTCAGCCCCGGGGAACTCTTGTGCCAGCCCCTTAGAGAATTGAAAAGTGTCCGGTAGTCGCATAAAAAAAGTGAAAAGGTAAAACAGGTGAAATTAATTTTAACAATATATTTTTAACCTGATATATTCAAAACATTATTTCAATATGCAATCAATACAAAAATTATAAATGAGATATTTCATATATTTTTTTTGGCAGTAAATCTTCGAAATTACACTCACAACACATCTCAATTCAGACACGAATTTTTCATTGGAAATACTTGATCTGTAGTTACATTTCATAAAACTTAGAGTTGAAAAAATTGATTCACATACTCACATTGTTCCAAATATATGTAAGCACTTTTCGATAACTGAATCCAGTGTTCTTAAGTGTGAATTTACACTAATATGAAATAAAATAAAATTTGAATTAAATGAGAATTCTGAGTTAAATTAAATAAAAAATTAAATTTCTTTGTTGCACATTTTAAATTCCTAACAGCCACTTGCAGCTAGTGGCCACCAGATTAAACAACAGGGATAGAGAGTTATAGAATCTCCAAATTTCAGCTCTTGTTAACATAAAGTGGAGATAATAAATAGTATCTAATTTATGTAGGCTTGTTGTAAGAATTAAATGAAATACAGTAGAACAATGTATATTAAGTACTCGGCACAGGGCCTAGCACATAGTAAGTACTCAATAATGAAGGTAACTCTGAGAATTATTTCTCCACTTTAGTGATTTTCGCGTTTCATACTTCCTTCCTCTGGAACTTACTCTTAGGAGGGATTGTTAAATGAATGTGCAATAAGCTGCCAAAAATGAACAGAGTATTCAAACACTCAAGTGTCCTTCTGTCCCTATTTATTGGACACCCCTTTCACCCACAACATGCCTTCAGTTGCATTACTATCTGTACTGGCCACTCCAAATTTTATAAATAGAACAGATCTTCAGTGGTATCTATCCAGCTACCTAGTAAACATCTTGCAAAGATATTTTTAACTCGATCCACCAAAACCTGAATTGATGAGTATCATCCCTAATGTGCCTCTCCTGTTCCCTCATTGGTTGGTGTTGCCATTCCCTTGAAAGCCTCAGCCAGACTCTGGCAGTCATTCGAGGTTCTTCTTCCTCCTTCACTGTTCCCCTCACCACAACCCCTTAGTGAATCGCTAAGTCTTATCAATTCTACTCCTAAACACCTCCCAAATCCACTGATGTGTCTCGTTGTCCACTGCTATCCTTCACTTAGATGTTGTAACTGGTCTTTCTGCCTCTGCTTTGCCCCCCTTCAATTCATTCTTCATGCTTCAGCAAGAGTAACTTTTCTAAAGCCTGACTCCAATTATGCAACAAGTCTGCTTAACACTTAAATGACTTTTGACTCTTCCACAGGGCCTATGAGGTCCTTATGAAGTTTCCTTGCTTAACCCTTTTTTCTTGTCTTTTAAGAAACAGCCTTTACCTCCTCACCCATTCCCCTCCTGCCCCCAATTTCTGGCCTCTCTGAATCTTTTCCAGTTCATCTACCACACCACATGTTTCCTGCTGGAGGAGCTCCCACGCATGGCCATGCTGGGTGCATCATATTCATGTCTATCCTACAAGTCACAACCCCACTCTGAGATGGTATTTGGTATGCACAGCCAGATACTTCTTCCCATTTTGCCACATGGCAACTTGTCTGCATAGTTGACTGCGTCTGTTTCAGAGGATCCCTCAGCTTTGGGCTGTCAGTTAGAAAATGCCAGCTCCCTCTCAAAACTCTGTGCATGACACCTTTAGAAATCCTTTGAGATGCTAAGCATTTAGGTCATCAAAGGGGCACACTGGCTATTACTGATTTTGTCTAATTCCATTCCACAACACCGATTTTTGTAGTGTTTCCTTTCTTTGTTTCACTTTGACTGTAGATGCTGGCTGAGATGCATTGGCACTAGCACTATCTATTGCATGCAAAAGTTTTGCTTAAAAGAAGTGTTGATGTTGGAGCTGTGAGAAAAGCAGGCCCTACCTTGCGGGACCTAGGGGAAGAATGGAATGTGAAAAGCTCACTTTAAAATGGTAGGGGTTTGGGTGCCAGGCAGGAGCAGTGGTGGAGCATTTCAGAGACCAGTCCGAGCCTAATGAGGTCCGCCAGGGCTCTGGGCAGGCGTCACCAGCTGGCTCTTTGCCACTCCTCTTGCCCTCCCAGACACACACAGTGCTGGGGGGTCAGCACTTACGCTAACACTGGAGACAGGCGGGCAACATGAGACTGGTGGATGAGGGCAGCGATGGCTAGGTATTTTCCCAGAGGACCAAAGAGCAGAATACATATGTCTGGTTTTTGCCTCTGACACCTCCAGGCCTAGGGATGGATTCCCAGTGATCTCCTTCCATCAAAGGGCTTGATCCCAGGAAAGGCGAGTGAAGATGAAACTTCAGCTCTTTGTCTGCCTTTGGGATAAAGCTATGTGAAACTGTCAAAGCAAATATCATGTTTCCCTGGAAAACCGTAAATTCCTTTGGCTCTGGGTCCAGGAGGTTTGTCATGTGGTTAGAGGAAAGATGAGTATGTTGATCACAGGTCATCAGCTGTAAGGTTCTGCAGCTCAGGGCCCAGGTCCACATTGCCAGCTGCTATAATGCCAAGTATAATGTTGGGTTCAAGTAATGCTCAGTAAACACTCTTTAATTACAGCTCAAGATGAAGACAGTGAAATAGGTTGCTGTTTGTTATGTACTTGGCAACTGATGTGTATCATCAGATCAAGTAGAGGTATTGATAAATTTTGTCAAGGGGCATGCACATTTTAAAAATGGAATAATTGTAAATGCTCTTGTGATAGAATATACCTGAAAATCTTCAGAAGGAAATGGAAGATTATTAAATTTTTTTTTGTTTGCTTTCTGGCTAGTTGGTTGATTTTTGCCAGATTCATTATATATTAAAGTAGCATTAACATTAAATTCATGCTACAAAATCAGATTGAAAAATAAGAAATTACCATGAGTAAACATTTTTTTCTCTTTTATAGTTTTGTAAACAGGGGCTCTGGATGCTTAGATAATGTTTTTCAAAGCTCCATCTTTTGTACTGTGCTTTGGTCAGAAAGAAGAAAAATACATGAGAAAAACTATTTTGATCACCCATAGTACAGCAGTTGCTGTATCTTGTTAGCCTTTTTGTGGCATATTTAGCATTCTAAATTTCTAACAATTATTTTCCCCATATCATTTAATAAGCACTTCTTCATGTTATATAAACCCTTTATGAATATAAATTGTAATGTGTACAGACTGTACTATCATATAGATTTGCAACACTTACTTAACCACTCACATATTATTGGTTACTTGGGTTATTTTATTTTAAAAGTTTCCAAAGGTTCCCTTAGGAATAGAGTTTCATCAGTTTTAAAGTTATGGCAATATTTAATGTACATAGGGCATTATTTAATCATAACATATTGTTTTGGTGAAAAATAAAAGCCAGAAGTTTTATGTTAAATTTTTTTTGAAAATTGGCATAACACTAAAAGCAATCAGCCAGTTTCACTGAGCTCCCAATTTCAGAGAAAAACTGGCCTCTTCAAGTAAAGATTCCTTGTTCTTAGAGGGGAGGAGCTGATGATTAAGTAATCACAAGAAATAACGCATGGCAAGGGAACTCACCCAGCGTAGACCAGAAAATGTCCTCTAGAGAATGTGGCATTTACACCAGGACTCCTCAGGACAAGGAGGCGTTGAAAGCCCCAGCTATCCTGGCATGCTGAAATACTTTAGGGGGATAGCAGTGGATAAAACCCTTCTGCAAAGTCATCTGCTAATATCTAAGAAGGGTTTTAAATATTTTCTTATCTTTTTTTAAAAAATGTAAATGTTCAGAGGTAACCAAAAAAGGTGAAAGAAGTCAACGCACTAAGGTATTCATCTTAGCATGATTCATCACAGGGAAAAAGGAAAGCATTTGTATGTCTAAGCTGAGGGACTGGCCATGACTGTGCCTGCACTGGAGTGTATGCATCATTAAAAAGTATACTTAGAGTAATGTAAAACTGGTGAGAAGACTGTTCTGGAATAAAAGAGGCATAACAAAAGACAATGCATGAATTAGTTTGAAAATAAACAGCAAAAAGTCAATGGGGGACAATTTTAAAAATTTGAATATCAATTGGATATTAAATTACATTAGGGAATAATCGTGAATATCCTGCTGTGATAATGATACTATGATTATGTGGGAGGATGTTCTTATTTTTAGGAGATGCATATTGAAATATTTAGAAGTGAAATGCTACGATAATTACAGTTTACTTTCAAATATTTCAGCAAAAAACACATATGTATATGTGTATGTCTGCTTACGGACTCCCTGGATTTTCTACTTGGAAGTAGTACCGAGGAAGATCTAACACAGGTAATGTATAAGGACATGAAACAGCAAAATCTAAACATATACACACACACAGAGCAAATACGGCAAAGTATATATAATTGTTGACTCTAGGAGGAAAATACATGGATAGTCATTGCACTTGCCTTTTAACTTTTGTGTGTTTGAAAATCTTCATAACAAAGAAATGCATTATGTAGTATTACTTAGAAAAATTGAAAATGTGCCGTAATGGTTCGGGGATTGTATTAGGATGGTGGATTTATGAAAGATATTTTCTTCTTAATACTCGGATACATTTCCTACAACGAACATAGATCATTTTTATTATCAACAATTAAAGCCACATTCTGTTGAGCTCTTATTAGGTTCCATGCTTTGCGTGAATTATTCTACTTAATTCTTACAACAACCTTAAGAGGCTAGTACTATGACTGTCTCTTTATAGTCGAGGGCACTGATGTTTAAAGAGATCACACTACTTGCTCACTAATACAAGTGGCTATGCCAGGATTTGAACATAGGCACAAGTGATGCTTTTACAATTCAACAATATCTTGAAAACTATTTTGAAAAATAAAAAAATTATCTATACAACTGAAGATTTCAGCCCAGAGGCAGTGTACCGATATGGATTTAGAAGCTGAAATCATGATTCAAGGCCTGGCTCTGCAGTTTGCCACTTGGGTGGTTGTGTGGTGGGTGTGCAATGCCTGATCTCGCCTCCTTTGGTGTAAATGGGCCAGTGTGCTGTGAATGATAAATTGTCCAACAACGTAAGTTGTGATCATTGCTCTGAGGGATTGATAGTGTAACTGAATATCTAGAAGACCATCACTGTCCAACTTTATGCTTGGCTTTTTACATTTTATTTTAGAGTTTGATTCTGTTGTACTGAAAACATCCTTGGGTGACATCTTTTGTTTTGTCTTGCTTTTTGCTTTTTCTAGAATTGTAAAGGATAAGAATAGAAAATTGTCCTTCATTTGTTGCTAAGCCCTGTTTGGGAGAATCTGCCCTTCCCATTGGTGGCATAGCTGACAACCTAGGAGTGCGTCTAGAGGATGGCTTCCCTCAAAGACGGGGACCAAAAAGTTGTGTCAAGGTACAAGGCAGATCTATAAAGAGTGGGCTTCCATACCTCACTTTGCAGACTTGAACACCATATCCCTCATTTTCAACATTTGCATCTAGACTCAGGCTAAACAGTAGAAACTACAATGAACTGTTGCTAACTGATGAATGGGTGTTGAGAAAACTTACTCTATTTGTGTAATTTCCTGTCACCAGCATGAAACGGTCAAGAAATTGCCATTGTTGTGAAAACTTCAACTCAATAATTCAGAGATACAGAAAATTGGCACAAGAATGTTATTTCTTCGTTTGGACAAAAATCTCTGAACTTTCTGAGGTTCACCCATCATTGTTGTAAAACTCTAAAGATCAAGTTTACTTTGGAAGTTCTGCTACAACCTCAAGTATCATGTTAGCCATAGCATGGCAGTGGGGAAAACGGAAAAGAGCAGCCCACTATTTCCAAGAACCTCTATTATTTTAAAGCTCACAGTGTTTGTTTTACTAATTCGGAGAGAAGAAAAGATCACAGATTATTTCTCAGGTTAGTGTTTAACATTTTGCTTTTCCAAATCAACCTTCCTATTATCAATGCCATTACTGAAAAGCGTGGATATAATAAACTCGTATCATGAATATGAATAAATAACATGAGCTAGACAATCTTTGACTAGGGTTGACTGTCCTCAATCCTTTCAAAGTTCGTGTATTTGTTTTTTGTTACTGATGTAAGCAATGACAAAAACTTACTTTTTTTTGTTGGAAGAAAAAGGAAGAGAGAAAGCAAACAAAGATCCCCCGTGGGACTGCATATGGAGTTAGTTCATGTATAGAGAGCTACATAGTCCCATCATCTCACTGGGACACCACAAAGTAGTGCAACCAAGAAAACAGCTAGCTTCCCTTTGTGTGATGAAAACATCACACAAAAGTGACACAGGGCCCTTGGAAGGTTAAGGTTGTATCACTAGGGACACCAGAAGCCAGTGACTGGCAACAGTAAATAATGGCTCACGATTAATGGTTGGAAACCTACTGATAAGACCATTGGATACCAAAACATCAGAGGAATGTTGGCTCCAGTTGGTTTAATCCTGCAAACCATTATAATCTGAGCATTGTAAGGCTTATTTGCACTGTTTCTCTTATCTGTTTGTCTTGAAGACTTAAATTAAATTTATATCCTCAGCTTAACAGTTCAATTTCTTTCTTAAATTTTTTGCTCAGTCAAGAAGTATATATTAAGTAACCACTATAATACTAAACTAAGTGTGGTAAAGAACACAAAGAAATAAATCTCATGATATAGTGCTCAAGGAACTTAGAGTTGAATTGGTAGGGTCAGAGAAACAAGAAGCAGTGATTAGTATGTGGTTAGATTAGTCAGGGAAGGCTATGAAAAGGCAACTAATGAATCCTGTTCACTGACTCATTTCATTTATCCACTCGCTGTGAAACACTTCCTGAATTCCAAAGAGTGGCAAATGATTATGCTGGTGAGGAATGCCCATTCTTACCAGAACTTCGCTAAGGTAACAGAACCTCACTAACTATGTGGAAACCACCTAATCCACCCTTTGCATGTGGATCGGCAGTTTTTCTCTCTGTATTAAAAAAATTTCCATTTCCACAGACTTAAAGGTAGTTGTGGAATGTGGCTTTCCTTTTCAGCAAATCCAGTGCCAGCATTGTTCTCTCAGGCCAGCATTTATCAAGTTTTGATGTTTTAGTTTAGTGGTGACCGTTATATTTATTTTCATAGTGAGAAATCTAAGTCATTTTGGGCACTGGTTCAAGGTTACACGATGAAGGTTACATCATGGACTCTTTCCCTGAACTCACTCACAAACTGGAACTATAATTCATGAGCAGTGGTTCAGCCAGGAGGTGAGATGGGGCCAACGTCACACCATGACTGTTGAGAGGACTTACCTAACAGACGGCAACCTTTTGAGAATGACTCTATTTCCTAATTTCTCAAAATGGAATTCTAGGGAACTTATTTTTCTTTTCTTGCTTAAAGTATTATACTGAGTGATCAAGAGCACTGGGATTGTCAGGGTCACCAGTGTCCTCCATTGCTAAATCCGGAGGTCAGTCTCAGGCCTCATCTTGGTTGAATTCTCTAAACAGTTGCTTTACTTGATCAATCTGTTCCCTCTAAAGCCCTTTCTTTACTTGGCCTCTGGGTCATCACACTCACTTCGGTTTTCTCCTACGTCACTGGCTGTTCTTCTTGTTTTCCTTTGCTCGTTCTTCTTTATCTTCTCAATCTCCTAACATTGGAGGCCAAACCAAGCTCCTCATCCTTCCTTCAAACCTGCTTGTGATCCACCTCAAGAAATGGCAACTCTTGTTTCCAGATGTTCAAGCTAAAACACTTAGAGTCATCTTTGATTCCTCTTTTTCTCCTACACACCACATCCCATCTATCAGGAAATTTTGTTGGTACTTCCTTTGAAATATATCTGGAATGTGTCACCTCTTATTACCTCTACTGCTTCTACCCTGGCCAGACCACCATGATTCCTTCCTGGATGATTGCGATAGCTGTCTCCCTGCTTCTTCCCTTGTATTTCTAAAGTCTACCCATAACACAGATTCTTTAAACTTATGTCACTTCTCTGCTCAAAACTTTCCAATAGTCCCTATCTCACTCAGGGTAAGAGACAAAGTCTTTACAATGACTTCCAAGGTCTTCCATGACCTGGCCCCTGTAACTTCTCTGATTTCATCTCCTTCTACTCTTCTCTTTCTCATACCTTTGCAGCTGCATTCATGCTTTCTGTTTCTTCAACATTTCAGGAATGCTCCTGACTTGGGGATTTTATAGTAACTGTTCCTTCTGCTTGCAATGCTCCTCCTCCCTGCGGCCAGGTGACTCACCCCCATACCTTCTCCAGGTCTTTGCTCAAGCATCAGAGAAGCCTTCCCCAGCCAATTTCACACCACAACCACATCCTTGTCTCCTAGAGTACTCATCATCATTTGATATACTACTTATTTTGGTTATGGATGCGGTTCCTCACAGCCACAAAATATGGTCTCCCTGTGGACAGGAAATACTTCGTTTTCTTCATTGCTATATTCCTAATGCCAGAAACGATGTCTGGCACATAGCAGGCACCTAGATGTTTTTGAATGAACGTCCTACTCCAAGGCCACATCATGAAACAAATCTCCAGTGAAGCTCATGCCCAAGGCTGTGAGGAAGTTGTTACCATGGGCACTTCTCTGCTTACACTTGTTCTTACAGCAGACCAAGAAGCTGTGTTGCTTGGCTTTGTTTTGTCTTGATTCCCTTGTAGATCATGTCCTTGGGATGACTGTGCCTTCCCATTTATTTCATTCTGTTCTCCCACCATTATTTTGCTTCTGTATCATAATATAGTCAGTTCATTTTTAAAGATCAAGACTATGTAACTAAAATGTGAAGAAATCTTAAAGTTGCCCTGTACATCAGAGATAACTATGAAGCAATGAGATTGAAGCAAGATTGTTTAATCATAAAAAAAAATAATTTGAAAAAATATAGAATCACTGGAGAGATTTCTTTTTTTCTGCTCTTGACCTGGAGCAAACTGGACTGGTATTATATCACCAAATCTGGGTTAATCCAAAGGAAATAATGAGATTAAGTTAGAGGTAGGCATGGAATGGGGCTTACAGATGGACTAAAGTTGTCAATTAGGTATATTAGTTGCTAATCTGGGATGATGAAAGACTTTAAACAACCACATGTAAATGTCTGGTGTGGCCTGTTGTTGGTGAAAATCTCAGTTATAACCTTCTCACTCTGCATGTGAAATGTCCAAGGCAGAAAAGTGGCCATGGTGAGTCTGTAATTCCCAAGCTTGATGTGCTTTAATGGGCTGGTTTCTACTGGTCACACACACAAACTCCAGTTTCCACCCGTGGTCACTCATAGCACCTTGATGCACTTAGCTCACTGGCCAGCTTTCAGCTACTTAGAGTTTATATTTAATTGGCTCATCCTTTCTATCCCAACTTTTGAATAATCCAAGGCTTCTATTCACCTTCTGTCTCACTTACATTTTTGTCTACCAGTCTGAGACCTTCCTTTTCACCTTTCAAACATGAGCCAGTTACAGCACCACAGATCATCCAGCCATACTCTTGCTCCAGAATTCTGTTTGATGCAATCCTAGCACCTCTATCTTTCTTCAAGTTAAGTCCTCTGAAAGGCTTATCCTTTCAACACCTGTGGTCCCAACTCTGCTTACAGCCTCAGATAATACAAAATTAGATCCAAAACGAACAGTTTTGTACTACAATTAATATTCATAGCTCCTGATCCCCCAGCCTCCTGTCTCATCTAACACAGATTTAGGAAGCTTAGAGAACACCAGGTAGGGTATATATAAGAAAAGTATACGCTGGCTGAGCACACTGGTTATGCAGGTAATCCCAGCACTTTGGGAGACTGAGGCAGGAGGATCACCTGAGTCCAGGAGTTTGAGGCCAGCAGAGGAAACATGCTGAAACCCTGTGTCTACAAAAAATACAAAAAATTAACCAGGTGTGGTGGTATGTGACTGTAGTTCCAACTACTGGGGAGGCTGAGGCAGGAGAATCACCTGAGCCTGGGAGGTCGAGGCTGCAGTGAGCTGTGATCACACCTCTGAATTCTAGCCTGGGTGATGAGAGTGAGACCCTGTCTCAAAAAAAAAAAGAAAAGAAAAAAGTATACACCTTGACATATTATATTTAAATTGCAGGGCTGGGCACAGTGGCTTATGCCTATAATCCTAGTACTTTGGGAGGCTAAGGTGGGTGGATCACCTTAGGTCAGGAGTTCGAGAGCAGCCTGGCTGACGTAGTGAAACCCCATCTCTACTAAAAATACAAAAAAATTAGCTGGGCGTGGTGGCAGGTGCCTGTAATCCCAGCTACTCAGGAGGCTGAGGCAGGAGAATTGCTTGAACCCGGGAGGCAGAGGTTGCAGTGAGTTGAGATCCTGCCATTACACTCCAGCCTGGGCTACAACAGCGAAACTCCATCTCAAAAAAAAAAAAAAAAAGAAAAAGAAAAAGAAAAAAAGTGGAGAAAACCAAAGACAAACAGAAAATTCTGAAAGAAGCCAAAGAAATAAGAACACCTTACACCTTACCCATAGTGGAACAAGCATAAAAATTCCACTGGACTTCTCATCAGAAACCATATAAGCAATAAGAGAGTAGAGTGAAATATTTAATGTGTTGAAAGAAAAAAATCCACCAATCTGAGTTCTATAAACTGTTCTTCAAAAGTGAAGGAAATTAAGAGAATGAAAAAGACAAGACAAGCCACAGACTGAGAGAAAATATTTGTAAAACATACATCTCATAAAGGGCTTGTAGCTAAAATATACAAAGAACTGCTAAAACTCAACTGTAAGAAAACAAACAACTCAACTAAAAAGTGGGTAAAAGACCTAAAAGACATTTCACCAAAGGGGATATACAGATGGCAAATAAGCATATGAAAAGATGCACTTTAGGGAATTGCAAATTAAAACAACAATGGGGTACCACTTATAGAGTG